AATATTTTTCCTTCCCTTAAGTGATTGAATTTCTATTTCAATTCAAAATCTGTATTATGGTTCAGTCTCACATTCTGCCATTTCCCTGTACTTCTCCCTTGTAAGACTCCTTGGTATTTCCTGATTGTGGTTTACACTTTGGTTTCTACTGACCATGTTCCCCTTAAGACCACTAGACGTGCTTCCTCTTCCATGATGTCTTTCCTGAGCTCTCTAACCAAATATAATCTCTTTGTCCTTTCATGCTTTTGCCCTTTTCTTATTATTTTATGGTGTTTTCGTTACCTTTTTTCTTTTTCTCTATAAGATTTTAAGGTTTTGTAGGGCAAAAGCCATGTTTTTGTTGTCTTAATAGACACCTTTTTCCAACAGTTTAATAAATATTTTTTGAACTAATTGTGAAGGTTTAAATATAGGAAATGCATACAGCTTTGGGGGCGAATGCAGTGAATTTGGTTTCTTACACTGATGAAGTAACAGTTCTTTCCGAGTTTAAGTAATTCTTCGAAATAATTTCATTTTTCTTAGAATGTGTGTACAATTATAGTGGGTCAGTGAATATGGAGGGTCTTGAAAACTTGATTTATCTGTTAAGTGAAGGTATGTATCTTATTTAATCCAGAGAAATATCTGAGGTATTAATTTTGTTTTTGCAGGAGAATTCTAAGTTGTAGTAGTTCATAAGACAGTTGTAGTGTAAAGGCCAAAGCGGTATGAACAAGCACCTTCGTGTCTCCTCTTGCCTTCCCTAGAAGGCTCAGTTTTACTGGGTGCATCTTCCATACGATGGTGATTGGGATGCTGGCATGATTTCCTTACCCTGGTCCCATGTGCTAGATGCTGTGCCTGGCAGTGGGGATGCAAGGGTAACTTACCACCTGAGAGGAGAAAAAGCATTAATGAAACAATGAAAAATACTTTAAAATTGTAAGTGCGTTAAGCTCTGTGAAGACATGGCCAGGAGTGTATTTATTTAATCAACCATCTATATATTTTTTCCCTTTATTTGATATTTTCAATAAACAGTTTTAGTTTTTCGCAAGATTACTCAGCACTGTTATTAGTAATAACTTTGGCCTTTGAGAGAAAAGCTTCATTATACTTGCTTTATTTTGAGTCACAAATCCCATTCATGAGCTACATGCCTAAACAAAGACTTAAATTCAAGATTTCCATGATAAGAGGTCACAGTCGCACCTCCTCCTTTTGAATTCCAACATCAAAATAGAGGATTCTGGCCCTGACCAGCTTAGTGCGGGTGTGGCCGCCGGCTGACGTCTGTTGGAGTTGGAGTAGTTGGGTATTTCTACAGGCGATTCACAATCTGAATATTATCCAAAAGCGGTTTCATCAGCTGGTGTTCTCTGCGCAGGTACTATATGGAATTGAAACCTCTAAGGAAAGGTTTGATAAAATGCAGGCGTTGTTACTTCCTGCAGCCCATTTTTGGTAACAGGGCTATGGGCATTTTCCCCCCAGGCCTGTGGCATTTTCTTTGAGCCTTTAGTATAGCTGGGAGCCTCTGGTTTTCGCTCTTTGGAATGAGACAAGACAAATTCTACCCTCCCTCTGGTCTTTTTCATCGCTTGAAGTGGAAGGCGCTTCTGCCTTGCTGGGCGCAGACTAAGGCCCGGACAAGAGATACGACTTCTTACTGTTCTCACTCTTTATTACATCCCAGGGAGAGAATACGGTTTATTTGAAAATTCCTTTTTTTCCTAGAAAACTCTTCAGAAATCCTGGATATTTTTTTCCTGTAATAAGTGAAAGGACAAGCAGATGCTTAAAATAGAAATCACAGTACATGGGATGGACAAAAGTAGGTTTACAGTTGTGTTACAAATAAATAATAATACAAGAATAAATTCTGTGTTTTACATACTTTCAACTGTAAACCTACTTTTGCCCATCCTGTATAATAGGAATCTGCTTTCAAGAGAGCAACCTTAATTTTAGGAGGTTGAGAAGGGGCATTTAATTCATCTCTGAGCTTGGCAGAAAGTGAATCCAGATTATTTTCCCTGTTTACCAAATACAGTACCTTGAAATTTTCACCCTTGGGAAGCATAATTACGAATTAATGACAGATGACTTCTAAATTTCTGCTAGCATATTATTGTATTTGGGCCAACTTTGGCCTCCAAATATTTTTAAATGCCCTATTTACAAACTAAATTAGGAAGATTAGGTTTATTTAAGGCTTTGTGGCTAGTACTCTTTTCCTATACTGTATTCTTTGTTGTTAGATATGTAAGTACCTTAAATACATTTAGATATACTCTAATTAATTATACAAAATAGATTGTTAATACAGTTACCTTTTTCACAGTTTATCATTGTCTGAACAAAATTATCTCAGTGTTACAAATAAAGTTAAAAATTTCCTTTTAAATATTACCATTAGTTTGTATTTAGATATCTGATCTTTAAATCTAAGTTGATGGGCATTGTTTCATATAACACTGTGGTTTGTAAGTTTGAGAAGTCTTTGTCCTAAGTAGTTCCTCACTCTCACTTTTATCCTGACAGTTTTCCTGGGATCTTTGGTCCCTCCAGTGTTTAAGAAACTATAATAGCAAAGGTTTTATTGGGTGGATGAAAGGAACAGCAGTTGTGGGAAATCTTTAAAATGTAAAAAAAATAGGAATATTATCAGAATTGATATTCAGAGAATTAAAGTCAGAATGACAGCTTCAGAACTCAGTTTTAAAATCCCTTTTTCTTCGTTTTGTTTTTAATAATCAACTGCTTCCTGGGCTGGACATCATAATTTTTGATGGGGGTAGGGACAAATGGGTTGACATGAACTCTCAGTTGATAACAAGGAAAAGATGTTCATTTATTGATTATTAGCTTTATACTAAGCACAATATTGGATACTACAGATTGGAAAGGAAGGGAAAATAAAATATTAACTGTAGAAAAACTAATTTTAACATTTTCTTTAATAAAAGTTTATTGCAGAAAATGTTTGCAGAGTAATAATAAAGCCTGTCTGAAGCCTTTTTTTCCAAGCAGTTGGATGCTTATCCTGATAATTTTGTTTCTGTTACTTATTAAGAGTTTATTTCATATATTATGATTCCCTGTGTGCAAAGATAAATTTGAGCTGCAGTTGGCCCCAACCTAGGAGTAGTTAGGTCCTTATGTATAGGTGTTGTTTCTCTCAAACCTGTATTTCCACTGAGTTGTGTTTGTTCAGTTTTGTATTTTAACCATTGTTAGAAGTCTGTCATCCTTCAAATAGATAATGATACCATCTAGAGAGAACAGCTAAGTTTCTTTGCACTTTTTTCCCAGTAATGGACTCAGTCATTTTTATTCTAATATCTTTGAAACGAGAGTTTCTATCTTTAGGAAATTTGTATTTTAGTCTTCCTTGGGAGAAGTTTTCAACTTCAAAGTCTAAGCATATTCTTAAACTGATTTGATTTAAAAAGAAGAAAGAACTTGCAACGTAATAACTTTTTATGGGTTTATGTTCTTACCCACAGACATTAGACCAGCTCCCACTCACCAACCCCGAACACTTTGGCACTCCAGTCATAGGAAAGAAAACAAATAGAGGAAGAAGATCTAATCATATGTAAGTCCATTTTCATAACTGTTAGTTAAACCTGAATTCATTTCTCCTTTTAGTATTGTTTTAATAATTACTAATTTTAAAATGTAATTTGCAAAATGCTAACTGGATCTAATAGTAATTTTAGATCTAATAATAACGTCAGACTCCTCAGCACGGGTTCCTGTGGTTCTCCATGTTCAACCAATCGTAACAGCTGTGTATCTACCTCCCATTTCTCCCTACATGTACCTTGAGGCTGTAGTCAGAATGGAACTAGTCAATATTCCCTGCATACGTACTTTGACTTACTGGTATCATGCTTTTATTCGTGCTTTCTTGTCTTGAATGCCACCCTTCCATGCCACTGTCTCACTCATTCTTCAGTTCTCAAGAGAAATGTTCCCACTTTTATGTGAACCATTTGTTTCTTTACACTTTTTCTTTGAAAACAGACATTTTCTATCCTCTGAACTTTCTGTGTTCTTTGCATTTACTTAATGTCATAGACAGTATTTCACCTCTTATTATCATTGTAATGTTTTCCTTTTCTAATAGTTTTACTCTCACTGACAGGAACTGTTTTACTTATTTTCATGTCTTCTTGCAGTTGTATCACATATTTGATATATTTAACAAATTACTTTCATTGAAATGTGTCCAGGCCCCAAAAGGCTACATTAAAAAGGAACGCAGGATCAAGGGGTCATGAAATTTCAGGACATCGGAGATAAAGAAACAATTTTCAAACAGTTCCAGAGAAAGAAAAAAAAATTATTGCAAAGAACTGGGAGACTGAATGGCATCAGACTTCCCAAGAGTAACTCTGGATGCTAGTAGTCAGTGGAAAGCAGAATGGAAGAATGGAAGTCTCTTTTAAAAAGGAGGACTTGGTTCCTAATATAAAGGAACACTGGGGGGGGTCAGTCAGTAATTCCCCCCAAAAATTATGTAAGGAAAAAAACTGTATCAGTAGGATGAAGGATGAGGAGGTGGTTTAAATATAAAAGTTATGTTCTTGTAACAATGGGAAGTCAATCGAATAAATATGTCTTAAATGTAGAAATAAAGAAATAGTAGAATAAGAATATTGTTTAGAGGTAGGGTAGTAACTATCAGAGAAACAGCTGAAAGAGTTAAAAACCAGATGCCTTCATGGAACTGAAGAAAGTTGGAAGGAAAGGGGCAGGAGAATGTAGTTTTCTTTTATTCTCTTGGAGGTTGTTTTGAAAATAGTTTTGAATATTTTACTTCAATAAAATTTTAATATGGCTAAGCCCAAATATTGTTAGAATATCTATAAAATAAATATTAGTCAAATTATTGGAAACTTTAGTGTAAGTGAATACTTTCTCATTCAATATACAGAATCAGGTATTAAATCTGTTAGTGGTTAAGCTTTGGAGATAGAAATTGGGTAAGTGCTGTTTTTCATATTACTTAGTTTGAGCCTTAGAAAGCAAACCCACAAAGGTAGGTGTTAGTTTTATCCTTATTAGAAATTGGGGAAATTGGGGAGCTGAGCCCAGCGGGTCAGGATGATTATAGACGTGCAGCTCGCCATTTTCGCCAACATGCTGGGTGTGTTGTCCTTCCGGCTTGTCCTTCTCTATCCCTACGTGGCCGTCAGCGGTCCCAAGAAGCAGGAATGAAAGTGGCACCTTCTCTGCCCCAGGGCTCCAGGAAATAATCTGAGGCAAGATGGAGCATGTGAGGGGCCTTCACACTTCACTTCGTCCCTTCTACCCATCATAACATGTGAAGTAGCTACCCCTGGATTTTTCCAGACAACTTTTATTTTCTCAAAGTCTTCCTTAACCCTGTGGAACAAGAAGCTGCCACTGAGTAGGCCCAGTGTAGGGGCCTCTTTCTTTTCTGCTCCCTCCCTCCAATACAAAAATACAGATTTTTTTGTGGTCCCCCCTAAAAAAAAATAATTGGGGCAATTGGACACAGAGACAGTAAGTACCTAATTCAAGGAACACAGGAAAGAAAAGGACCAGGATTTGAACTTACCCGTGTTCCATAGGCCTTTTTCCATTCAGTTGATTGACTTCTTTGTTTAGACAGAGTATTTCAGCTACTTTCCAAATTAGTTTTAACAGTAAATAATGACTCATTTGAGCGAGGAAATTAAGACTTAATCCTTGCATTGAAAAAATATTTAGTATTTTCTATGTTTTTACTATACTTACAATTTGAACCATAAGATGAGGGTTTTTTCTCCCTTGCCAAATCTTTAGAAAATGTTTTTGTTGATTACTAGGTGAATAATTTCTTTCACTTGTGATTTAGCTTGCTGGTAACTTGATTATTTTTAGGGTACTCAACTTGTAACTTATTTACTCTCCTACATGTGTCATTTAAAGTTGAGTGTTCTTGTTTTAAAGAAAAATGTGTGATGACATTATTAGTATGAAAGAGTTCTTTCGTGATTATTAGATGTTGTTATTGTTTAATATTATGTTCAGGTTTTTGTTCCAGAGGGCTGTTATGTTGCCTTAGAATATTCACTGAAACCCTTATAAAGTTAAATCTTTTGATATTTCTTTGAAAATTAATGACTTCAATTGTGAATTAAAAACTTTATCTACTGTTGGTCATTAGAGACTTCCTGTAGTTCTATAATCAGATTTTAATTAACTATGATGGATGATATCAGAACAGTGAGATGGGAGGTATTTAATGTAAAATTACTTCATTAGTGAAGGTTTCACTGCTCTAGCTCTTGAGAGTGATGATGTATGTGGCTTAGTTGTTAAAGAGTGTGAAGGCTGGAGCCAGGTGACTTGGGTTTGAATTCTGCCTCTGCCACTTTCTTCAGTTTACTTACTATTCATGGCTTAATTTTCTCACCTGTAAAATTGAGATTGTAATATTATCTATCACTTAGACCTGTTACAAAGATTAAATGAATGAAAAATTTTTCATGAAATTACTAATATGTAACATTTCGTTTATATATGAATATATAAAAATTCTGCTTACCAGCATTTATATTGGATAGGCAGGACTGTTTTGGACTATATTACTTTTAAAAACAACATTCCCATATTAATTTTTATTATGTAGATAGTATAGGAAAAAGTTTTTTAATCCATCAGTAATTTTAATTTTGAAAGTAATGCATCTCATATTTAGATATATTTTACCTTTCTACAGATGTTATCCAGAAAATAAATTTAAAATTAGGTAATATAAACACTATTAAGTAGATTTACAAAAATGGCCAAAAATTATATCTGTTAAAAAGTCAGTTATGTTTCTTAGTTGAGGTCTCCTTTTCTTGAGTGTATGAAAATAAAAATGCAGTGTTCACTGAGCAGGTTGATCTTTGCTTTCTAAAGACTCTAGCAAACACTGTAAGTCAGTGATTTTCATGTTAGAATATCTGTGTTTAATGAGAGATTTGATGTCGAGATTGTGTTTTACTCATGTGAAGTATGAAGGCAGACTAAAGGGTGAGACTTGCCGGTGGAGGGGATGAAGCCGAGCTCTTCCGTGTTCTTGTTGTGCTTGCTGTTTCTGCCCCTCACCACCGCGGGCATTCCCACGGCCGAGCGGCGTTACAGTGTTCTTGCTTTGCACTACAGGCTTTGGTGTGTAAGCACCGCAGGCAAGGACCGCGGTGAAATGCCCATCTCCTTAATTACACTTCCTCAGACTTTTCTTCCCTTTCTTCGGAGGGATTTTCTACAACAAAGCCTTGTTTTCCTGACCTTCATTTCCTCTTCCATTCTAAGCCCCACCCCCCAAAAAATATCTTCATCATGATTCTCTGACTGCCATTTAAAATTTATTTTTGTACAAAGATAAGGTTAACTCTTCCTAGGATTCCCTGGACCCACTCCATTGTTACGTACGTCCCTGCCTTTGTTTTCTTTTAACAACTGTTAATCCACATACCAGCAATCCACCCCAGGTATTCCAAAATTGATTATTTTTGACACTTTTAATTGTGTTCTATTTATAGTCTATCTTTAATTAATTAACCCTAATATATTCAAGTATATATGTACTTGACTTTTTTTAAATTTTATAGATTTTATTTATTTATTTTCAGAGAGAGGGGAAGGGAGGGAGAAGAAGAGAGAGAAACATTGATGTGCGAAAGTAACACTAGCTGGTTGCCTCCAGTGTGCCCCCAGCTAGGAACCAGGCCCGCAGCCCAGGCATGTGCCCTGACCAGGAATCAAACCGGTGGCCCCTTGGTTCATAGGCTGGTGCTCAGTCTACTGAGCCACTCCAGCCAGAGCCAAGTTGTTTTTTTCTTTAATGATTATCATCCTTTAGCTTAAATTTTTTAAAGCAAGTTATTGATCTTTTTGGTCAATGTATAACTTGATTGAATTTTGTTCTTATAATTTATCCATTGTATGCAAAGGTTTTATTTGATTCTGCCTAGAGAATGTAATGCTTGAAATTGTAGAGCTATCTGTGTTCCCTCCCCCACCCCAGTTTTCTCCGATAACCTGGCAAAAGCATATGTGCACCTGTTACAGTAGGAAAGCAACCTCCTTGCTGTTTCCCCTTTAGAGAAAGAATAAAGCATAATAAGGCCTGTAAGGATTCTTGTTAGGGATCATTTTATGGGTACAGGTTTTACTCAGTGATGGTGCTGAGATTTTCCCAATAAAGTAGTGATTTGAACCTGGTATTTACACATCTGCCGATCTTTAAAATGTTTTTTCTATTAAACTATAATTCACATATCGTAAAATGCACTCTTTTAAAAATGTACAATGTTTAAGAAAAAAAAAAAAAGCCCTGCTGGTGTGGCTCAGTTTCTTGGAGTGTCATCCTGTAGACTTAAAGGTTGTGGGTTCAATTCCTAGTCAGGGCACATACCAGGTTGCATGTTGGATCCCCGGTCAGAGGAATGTACGAGAGCAACCAATCAGTGTTTCTCTCTAAAAGCAATGGAAAAATGTCCTCAGGTGAGGGTAAATAAATAAATAAATATGTACAATGTTTGGTGTTTTTTAATGTATTCACAAATTTGTGCAACTAGCACCATTATCCAATTCCAGAAGCTCATTTTATTATTTGCTGCTTTATTTTGATATGAGGATTTGATTCTAGTTTCCTTCTTGATAAAAATTTGGAGGAAAAAATTAAAACCTTTTTATTGGTAAGTGTATATACATGTCCATATTTCCTGTATGTTTTGATCTCTGAGAAGCTATAATTGTCAGTTTTTCTGATACCAACTAATATGGAATTTTAAGTTACTGTACAAAATTTGAAGCTTGAATTAATCACTTGCTTGAAATAATAAGGATCATTGAAGTAAGAATTGCATTTCAAAGACAGTTTCTGACGTTCCTGGCTCACTTTTTTGTTTGCATCTGATCATTTGCTGTTCTATGGCATATGTCGTGTCTAAAGTTCTTCTCATTTGGTTTACAATTAATTTAAAATTAATAGCGATGTGTGATTAGCTGTTAGTCTTTTGTGGTAAACATCTCCATGTAATTAGCTTTGTTTCCAGTAGCACTGTCAGATGTGGGTCTATAAACAAATACCTTGTCACCAAAGAAGCAACCATGTCAGAGGGGGGTAAACACCAAGAAGGTTCTCAATCTGCTCTCTTTGCTCCTGATTTTAGTTCACCAGTTTATTGAGAACTGGTTTTGTGTAAATAATTTCCTGGCTAAGCTTCTTTAAAAGGAAGAGTTAAAGGAACCTCAGGTATAATGGTATGATTTACACTGGTTGTATATGTAACAGTGATTGTATACCTTTTGTGATTTCTGGAGAAATAAAATCAGAAGTACTACAGTAGGAAAAAAATAACTCTATTCAGTTCATTTATTTAATCAACAAGTATTTATTGAACATCTATGCTGTGCCAAGCACTGTTCAGGTACTTGAAATATATCAGTGAACAAAACAGGAATTTACAAAATGTCTGCCTTTAGAGCTTATATTCATTCTCTCATATGGGGGGAGATAAACAATGAAGTAAAAATGTAAGAAACAAGTAAATTATATGATATGATACATTTGTAAGTGTTGTGGAAATAAGAGATTGGGGTCGGCAGGTTTTAAATTTGAATAAAATGGTCATGGTAGCCTAATCGAGATGTTTGAACAGAGACTTAGAGGAGGTGAAAGTAGAGGGCTCCAGGCTGTTCTGCTGCAGAGGATACTAGAGAAATGAGGTGTATTATCTGGTAGAGAAAGTGAAGTCAGGACTTTTTTTATTTTTTTTAAGTGAAAGAAATAACATCATACTATGGAAATAACAGTATGCTGATGAGACTCAATCTAATACAGGCAGAAAAATGGATACAGGAGAGGGAAGCATACCTTGCTGGAACAAAGTCTTGTATATGTGGCAGGGGAAAGGGAATCTAGTCCATAAATGGGGAATGGTGTTAGAGTAGAATCTGGACATTTACTGAAGGAGGTAGATAGATGTTTTATTTTGCCAATCAGTGTGTGCGTGCGTGTGTGTCTTTCTGGTGTCTGAAGGCTTCACACTTGGCAAATCTTAAGAAAGAAATTAGAACTTTTATGAAGATGCAGATGACTTTGTTAGCCAAATAAAGCCCAGTTTTCTCTTTCTGTGTTTTACAGATTTGATATGTGTTATCTGTGACATTGTGACTTTCTCTCTTGCTAATGATAAGGACTTACAGGGCATCCATAAAACCCTAGCCGAATGTGTCTTCTGTGACTGCTTGAAGGCAATAAGTACGGTTTTAAGATTGGCTGTATTCTACAGTCATGGTTAGAAAGTGGAGAGAGAAAAGCCGTGGCCCCGAGATGCTCTCTTCTAATCAAGTTGGGATCAGGCTCGTGAAGCCTGTCGTTACCATCCCAAGCTCTGACCCTGTTTCGCGGGTTTATGCT